AATAGATGGATGTATATTTTTTTCCCTCCAGATATAGTTATCCTGGAACTGTCTGATCATGTTTAGCATAAGTCTTTTTTCTCTTGTTTTCATTATATTTGGTCAAGTTTGAATACCTTCTAATACCACTTGGAGTTGCAGAAGTTTTACCCATTAGTGAAAAGCACATACATCCATCCCTCCCTCCATCTTCTTGGGAGGTCTCTTTATCAATGATAAAAGCTACTGATTTGGTGAGTGACATTGATGATTCAGTATAGATTTGTTATAGGATTGTTGCTCACTCTGGTGGACATGTATCCAGACTAGCAATTGTTAAGGATATAATTTAGATCTCTGCCATTATTGCTATGATGGCTGGTAAAGATCCAACAGCTTTTATAATCACTTTTAGCCTACACTGGAACCTTCATTTAGACCACACACTAAGCACTCAACAAGTAAACAGACTTGTGCAAACACTTGCTCAGCTGACAGCTCCCTAGACACAGGTGTTAAAGAAAATTGCTGAGGGAGGGAGCACTGAGCTTCCAGTCTCAAAGTATATTACGACTCTACTGGCGTTGAAATATGTCAACAGTCCTTGGGAGCCTTCTCCTGCAAAGGCTCTAGAGCAGGTCTTTAATAGAGCGCTCAATGAAGCAAGAGAAAGCGAGGGTGACATTGTCTCCATCTGAAGATTCACCTTTCTCTAATTGCCTCAAGTCCTATTGATTACCCGAGTCCCCTCACACCTTTTCTGTGTAATCCCCTCACAGAGCTTGAATACCCTCCCGTTTGCTGTTTTTTGATGAGATTAGCAGTATTGATCAAACTGTGCTCACGTATGTGTTTGTATGTGTGTAGAGGTAACTAATGAACCTGATCGCTCAGAATTTGGACGCTGAAAACAAGGAAGTAAACACATGGCAGCATACTGATATTTAGTTAGAGGGATCAAGGTGTTTGATGATCAACTACTCGCGTATCACCAGCATCACACACACATTCCAGCAAGAAGCACCGAACCTGAGCTTCCATTAGTCGTCTCTCCTGCCCGGCCTGTTTAAGCAGCTCATATTACCAGACATCCTACTGTCACAACACACATCACCAGTCAGTTTCTTTCATTCTCTCTCTCTTTCTGTCCCCACAGAAGATAAAGATGACTCCATTCCCATGTAATAAAATGCTCTAATGTTGTTTGGCCCTTTACCATTCTGTGTGTATGTGTGTACGCGTGCATGCGTGTGTGAAGAAAATGAGATAGCAGATCCCACAGTCCCCAGATGTTTGCAGAATGTAAGACATCTAATCTCCCTCCATCTACTCATTGATTGGAAGAACCCTGAACCCTAACCCTGGGAGATATCACCTGCACTACAGGCCACCGCAGCTGGCAGTCCAGTTGTATCTCAGTTTAAGTTGCCTAGTGTAAGTTGCATCTTGGCTCATGCTTTAACTTTTGTGGTACCTGTTTTTTTCTTAATTAACTGTTGTTCAGATGTTTCCTGTGGATTGAATAAGTATAACATGGGTAGGAGTGTTACATGTGGCCAAAGTTGCAGTTCAAGATCAACAGCACTACATATGCTAATCTTTGTGTTGTCACAAAAAAAACCCATCATATTTCCTTTCCAGAGAAAGGACACATTTGCATTGGCATCAATATTATTTGCCATGCTTAACTTTAAATCATACCAACTGGGGTCCCTGTAGACACCAGAAGTATACGTTCATATACTGTGTACCCTAGCAGGCATTTTGTAGCTGCCCCACAGATGTTGTGTAAAGAAATACTTTTTAAAAATGATGGCAAAGGAAGTAAAACATTTTTATCATGGAATCATCAATATAAAAGTTCTAACTGGTGACATGATTGGGTATTTTTTCTACCAAAAAATAATGCATTTTGAAATCCTACAAATAGAGGCCTTAAACAATTCAATTCAAAAGTCTAAAATGTAATCATTTAGTCAAATCAGACATCTAGATGCATTTTAATTCAATAATCATTCAGGCCTCCAGCTCACATTAGTGAACAAAACACGAGAGCATTTGCTTTTTCATCTAAAATTGTCAGCAGTGCATTTCAGCGAGCTCATGGACAACACAATCATTCAAATAAGTCGATACCTTTTTTTTGTTCTTTGGGCAGATGTAGAAGCTGGTCACCACTATAGTTGTCCCTGGCATCAGGTTGAGTTTGCTGTAGGTGGTGCCATAGTCAGTAGACCTGAAAGTAGACAGACAAAAACAAGATCAAGTAGCAGTTGGTCAGGAAACTTAACATTTGTGGGGTAAATTTCCTTTAACTATGGTTTAATTAGTTAATATCAATAGCAAAAGGCAGTATGGTAGTGATTTGAAGAAAAGGACCTCTGAAATTGCTTGCTGTTCGTAGTCCTCTCAAACACTTCTTATGTTACACATTAAAACAACAGCAGCCCCATGTAAAACCAAAATATTAGGGAAAGGGCAGCCTGCTTATTCTCTCAAACTGCCCTGAATGCATTATATCAGCTCTCTGTTCACCATATTACCACTTTGTGGTCCGTGGTCTAAGCCCAGTGACAAATCTAAACATCTGGGCGATCTGTCATTGCAACGACGATGGAAGAACAGCCCCGGGCTAGTGATGAAGTACTGGCCAATCCCCAAATCTGGCAGCTTTACGAGCAGGTAGGACCTGCTGTGTGTGTTTTAGATTGATTGCTAGCTGCTGGATTGTTTCTCCAGTACAGCTCAGTCACACCCACCAAGCAGAACGAGGGTGATTGTTAGTGACAAGTTTTGAAAAGCAGCACAGGTTTCAGCGTGGCAAGGCTTAGGAAGGTTGGCCGCTTATTGATAATTAATGACTTCAATTCTTTTGGGGGCGACCGTGGCTTACTGGGTAGAGAGGGTTGTCCGCCAACCGAAAGGTCCGGCTGCACCGTGTCCTGTGTCGAAGTGTCCCTGAGCAAGACACTGTACCCCTAACTGCTCCCCGGGTGCCTGTCATTGGCAGCCCACTGCTCCCTATATATACACAGGGATGGGTCAAATGCGAGAATAATTTCTCCACTGTGGGACTAATAAAGGAATGCTTCTTCTTCTTCTTCTTCTACTCCAGGAAACCTGCTCTCTCAGCCACATAATGCAAGCAAGGCAGATTAAGGCAGCAAATACTTATGACAGATTAGGAAACTGACTGTAATTGAGGAGTAAAAGAGGTTAAATAATGCAAATGTCACATTTACTGTATTTGCATTTGTTTTTTTTGTCTGCAGCTTTTGAAAGCTTTCTGAAGGTAATTTTAAAAGCCATCCAAACCACAGACGAAAAAAGATTCTGCCGCATTTAGCCAAGGGTTGAGGGTTGAACAGGAGGGAGCCTGGAAGAAGAGGTCTTGATGAAAGAGAATGATGAGCTACCACATCAGCCTGGTTAAGGATGAGAGGATTTACTCTTTTGCGCAGTGGGATATCAACTGCTGACAAACACAAAATGAGACACATACACACCGAAGCACCGCCAAGCCATTCAGCAATCAACTCTCCCAGAGTGCTCTGTAACAGCTGGAGAAAATGAACTGGCATTGCAGTGGTGAGCTACTTCTCTGCGGTGAGCTGGCAAGTGTCTTCATCTACCTCGTTGGCCTGGGTGCACTGTTTAACTCGGGATCACATGGACGACATGGCCAGATCTAGTGGTGATGGTCGTGTTAGCAGCCTGAACTCAGTGCTTAAGAAAAGCAGTTGTGGATGGAGAGGGTCTGCTAGACCTGATGTGTTGAAGTCCACAAGGAGGATGGATCATTAGGGTGTTCAAAATAGATTGGGCCATCTGGGCTGTGTTGGTCTTGCGGACATGCTACAGTAAGCAAATTGGCTCATTCCAAGTTGCCAGTGTATCCGTGTTCTGGTAGCGTACCTTAGCTGCTATAACTTAACCCAGTTATTTGTGTATTATTCCTCTTTACAGTGGCAAATTACCCACTATACATTTAAACTTTCACTCGTTCCGTCAAAACACTCATAGCTCTCTCCCTCTCTCTCATAAGTGACTTTCTCGCTTAATCCCAGTTTTAGTTGTCTAGTTCTGATGATGTTAGCTACCGTATTTCAGCTTAGCAGTGAGTGATAGCTTCCATGTTTCCCTCTAATTTTTTTCTCAGTGTGTCACATGTTTTGCTATTCCCCTGCCTTCTTTAGTGATAATGGTACATGTGATAATTGCAGTTTATTATTTGTGTTGGAGGCAAGGCTTAGTTCTGCGCCGTGGAAGCTCAGTCGTTTGCTGCTATTAGTCGTCCCCAGACACCCTCAAAGCAGCTGGATTACTGTTTCTATTCTGAGGAATGTGAAGTGAAATGCATTGTGGGGGCCAGACATTGATTCCTATTTAATACTGGTGGCTAAAGATAGGCGTAAATACAGTAGGACTAGGAGAGACAGCATTTATCCCACTTTGGATGGCGTGGAGTCATATCTAGAAACCTGACCAAGTTAATTAGCTACCACTGTGGCTCAGTGGGAGAGCAGGGCCGTCCGTCAATCAGAGGATCGGCGGTTTGATCCCAGGCTCCACTAGTCCATGCCGATGTGTCCTTGGGCAAGACACTTAACCCCTTTATTGCTCCCGCAAGCTGTGCGTGAATGGGTATGAATGTTAGATAGTGCTGATGGGCAGGTGGCACCTTGCATGGTAGCCCCAGTCATCAATGAATGAATGGGTGTGAATGGGTGAATGATGACATGTAGTATTAAAGCACTTTGAGTGGTCGGAAGACTAGAAAAAAGATTTACAAGTACAGTTCATTACCATTAGTTGACTTAATCCATGACAACTCAAGAGTAGAGACCAGGAAGCAGAGTTGCAGTCTTACGTGCTTATCACCCAAAACGCGATCGAGACTGTGTCTCGAGCATTGAGTGAGTACATCAAAAAACGTGTTCTGCCCGTCGGACATTGCTAATGGAGGCACTTGCTTCAGGGCAGTAGTACAATCCGTACAAACCCCGGAGCAGTTGGCTCAGGACACAAACTTTTCAAGGAGTATGCTCAGAGACCTACCCTGCCTCCAAAGCCTTCTGGCTTTAAATAAATATTTTGCGTGCTGTGAGGGGACTAATTCGGACTTCAGTTATGAAATGTTAAAGGAAATACCATGTCATGTTTCTAAACAGAGGTGGTTGATTGTTTTATTATTGCTGATATCTGGTAATGTACAGCCTAACCCTGGCCCTGAGCTGCAGTGTATTCAGATGCCAGCTGATTTCATATCCTTGCCTGGTCTACATATTATTCATTTAAATGTGCGAAGCTTGTTACCAAAAATGGATATGATTAGAATATGGGTCAAATCAATAGATGCCGACATCATTGTCATATCCGAAACTTGGCTGACAAAATCAGTTATTGATGATGATATTAATATGGATGGTTACAATGTTTATCGTACTGACAGGGCAAAGAAAGGTGGCGGAGTTGCTTGTTATGTGAAATCAAAATTTCTTGTCAAGGTGGTCCTGTCTGAATCGATTTGCAAGCATTTGGAATTTCTGGCAGTGGATGTTGAAATTTCTAAGGGCCTTTGTGTGACCGTTGTTGGGTGTTATAGGCCTCCATCCGCTTCAAACGAGGCATTACAGTCACTGATACACCTATCTATCCAGACTAAATTATGGTGAAATTGTTTTAGCTGGAGATCTTAACTGGGACTGGCTTAAGCCTGTGTCTAATGATTTTAAATCTTTTTGTGATTCTATCAATCTTACCCAATTAATAAATTCACCCACTCGTCCAAATCTTAAGTGCTCTGAGAAGTCCACATTAATTGACTTGATTTTAATTAATGTTCCTCATAAATTCTCAGCTGTTGGTGTTTTCTGTAATGACCTAAGTGATCATTGTGTTGTTGCTTCAAACAGGAACACTAAGGTCCCTAAATTAAAACCATGTATCATTTATAAGAGGAATCTTAAACATTTTAATGAACAAGGGTTTTATCATGATTTGTTTAATTTCAATTGGAGGAGGATAGAGCTGATCCCTGACGTGGAAACAGCCTGGTCTTTTTTTAATGATGGTTTTACACAAATCATAGATACACACGCCCCTTTCGTGAGATACAGAGTACAGGGACGTGATAATCCCTGGTTCTCCTCTGATCTAGCAGACAGTATTCATGAGCGTAACCTCGCTTGGGCTACGGCAAGAACAACAGGTTCTGCCACTGACTGGCTTGTGTTTAGGCAACTATGAAACAAATGTTCCTCTTTTATCAAGAAAGCAAAATCGGAATATTACTTGTCTGTTACTGCTGAAAATTTAAATGATACGAGGCAATTTTGGAAAACTATAAAATCCCTCTCTGTGACCAAGAACTCACAAGCTTTACCTGCTTTTATTATGAAAGATTCTGTCGCTGTTCATGACAAAATGGAGATACTGAATTGTTTTAACAAACACTTTATATCTTCTGGCTCTCTGTTTGACTCCAGTTGTCCAAGGTCTGTGAAACCCTGTACTGGTGTTCCAGTTTATACTGGTCAGCCTTTTAATTTTACCCCATTTCCTGTGCAGGAAGTTCATAAAGCCCTAAAAAGCTTAGATCACAGGAAACCTTCAGGGCCTGACTGTATAGACCCTTACTTTTTGAAATTGGCTGCTGACTTTGTTGCAGAGTCACTTGCATATCTTTTTAATCTGATAATGACAAATAAGGAAATTCCAAGGAAATGGAAATCTGCCTTCGTTCACCCATTGTTTAAAGGTGGTGACCCAGCTATTTTAAATAACTATAGGCCAATATCTAATTTATCAGTACTTGCTAAAATTCTTGAAGCTCTTGTGAGCAACCAATTTAAGGAGTTCTTATACACCAATGCCATTTTATCAACTCAGTCAGGCTTTAGGAAAAAAACATAGCACTATTACAGCTGCACTGAAAGTGGTAAATGACATTTCTGTTGCTCTTGACAAGAAGCAACATTGTGCGTCACTGTTTATTGATCTGTCTAAAGTATTTGACACAATTTGACCATGATGTCTTAAGGCTAAGGCTCCTCAACTCAGGGCTCTTGGAGCAAGCGGTCGCTTGGTTCACGAGCTACCTTGAGAATAGGTCTCAGTGCATCAGATATGATGGTCTATCCTCGGATATTGCAACCGTCTGTAAAGGTGTGCCACAAGGCTCTGTGTTAGGTCCACTTTTATTTACTGTCTATATAAATGATCTGGGCCAAAATG